AGCAATTTTTTCGGTAATCATAACTTAATTTTAATGTTTTCTTAATAAGAAGAAAACAAAGGCAAAAAAATTAATTTCGGATTTAAAAGTGTTAGTAAAATGATATCTCAGTGAAAGAAATTTTTAGTCTACTGTCAGGCAAGGAGGAAATTGTTTCAAAAGTATGATAATTCTCTATTTTTTGATCTGTTTTCCTTCTTTTTGCTGTGTATAAAAACAAACTAATAAACTTGTCTCTTTTGTCGTCTAATAAGCAATCAACCTCCAACAATTACTATTCCTCCGATCACCACCACTAAGAAAATAATTAATGGTAAATTGTCGTTGGGCTTTTTGTCATTAGAAGGAGGCGAGTTAGTATTGCTTGGGATTTCCCCCAGAATCCAGGAATTGACAATTTGTTGCAATTCGTCTTTTTTGGCTTCCAAAGCAGCCTTTATCCATCGGTTACCACTATTTTCCAATTCGGAAATTTTTTGCCGAACGGCTGATTTTTCCTCCTCAGTCCGAGCCTGTTTGGCTTGATTAATCAAATTAAATACTATTTTGTTGCTTCGTCCTTGGTTGATATTATTAGAGACCGAATTTTTAATATTTTTAATTTCCTCCGCGCTACTCGCACTTTTGATTTGTTCAGCAAAATTTTGGTTCGCTTTCTCTAGTTCGTCCAACGACAGAGGTGGGTCCTGCCGTAAAAATTCATCCAGCGAATTGATAGTCAATTCACGATATTTCGGCAAACTGACAGCGGCTAATTGTTGGAATAATCTTTCAATATCAGCTTTTCTCTCCTCATAGGCAGAGTCGCTCTGATAGGTTTCAATTTGGTTGAGTAATTTCTCTAAAGTTACTAAATCGTTGTTGGTAATGGCGGTCTGGGCTTGACGAATTAACTCATCCAATTTACCAGTGATTTCTTTTTTGGCTTTTTTTTGTTTGATTTCTCCTAAAATTTGGTCACGCAGCCTTATGATTTGATTTTCCTCGCTGAGAGAATTAAGTTCACTTTCTCAATTCGGATTACTTAATTCCTCATTTTCAATGACCGGTTGCTGACTCAGAGCATTTTTAATCCCTTGAATAGCCTCATTTAAGGCATTTTGTCGGCGAAGGTCTCGAACATTATCCAACACTTCTTGTTTTCGGCTTTGTAGTTCTCCCAAATTAGCGGAAGTAGAAATATAAGTCTGTCAATCATCATTAGTAAGAGTAATTTTTGGTTCCTTATTTAATTCGGCTTTAATTTCTTGAATGGCTTTTTGGATTTCAGCAGCGATATTTGTATTGTTGTTATTATCTTCTTCCTCGTCCTCCTCGCCGTTTTCTCTTTTTCGGGCAGCAATTTTTATTTTGGCTTGTTGAATAGCGTTTTTTCAGTCTGTTTCCGAAAAACCATTCCTAATCATGTCTTTAAACTTTTCTTGTTCATTGTAGTTTAGTAATTCTCAACCTTTTAAATTATTTAAATCTTGGAAATATTGTTGTCTTGTTTTAGGTCTTGGAGATTTTTGATTTTCCTTGTCTTTTAGTCATTCTTGGAGAT